AACTGTCGACACGTCTTGTCATCGTCAACTGTCGACTCGTCCTGTCATCGTCAGCTGTCGACACGTCCTGTCATTGCTAACTGTCGACACGTCCTGTCATCGTCGGCCGTTGACACGTCCCGTCATCGTCGGCCGTCGACACGTCCTGCCTTCGTCGCTCCATGTTGTTGCATGGAGAGTATTGACTATAAATAAAGGCGTGACCCACCTATCCACTGCTGTGCTCGTGCCTACACTCCAGGGTGCACCAGCGTTGCCGCGGAGGGACACACGGCCAGCGCCCGCAGCGGGCTTTCCACCGCCGCTGGGACGTCCACACGGTGGACAGTCGGCGACGGGCGCCGGCGGCGCCCGTCGCGACGTCCCCGCTGGTCCCCGCCCTGCACCGCTTCCGAGCGTTGACCTTCAGCCAGCTGGCGGCGGCGACCGCGCCGGCGCACGGTCGTTCGGAATCCAGCCGCCGCCGCCGCCGCCGGCTCCATCCATTATCACCCTGGGCTGCAGCGGTCGTCTGGAATACGGGATGCAGCGCGGCTAACTGTGCGCCGGCCGCCGCCGCTCGGTCGGCGCCGCGCGGGTCAGCTGACGCCGCCGTCTCTGTGGCCCGGCTGCGGTCCGGCTGAAGGACGGTTACGTGTCTGAGGTCCAGATGTGGCTTTGTAGCTGGCCGTGGTCCCGGCCTGGATCCGATTCCGGTCCGGCTTCATGTCTGACCGTGATCTGGATCTGTATCTGCCCCGGGTTAGCTCTGTACCTTGGGTGGCTTCGTCTTAGTCTGGCTTTATAACTTTCCTGGTCTGATACTGAAGCTCGTCCTGGTTCAGCTCTGTATTTTGGCTGCGGCTGGCTCCACGGCGTATGATCCTGGCCCGACTATGTATTTGGCCCTGGTTTGGTTCCGTGTCTGACCCTGGCATGCTGTCAGGCTTGGGTTCGGCTCTGTATCTGACCCTGATCTGTTTATGTAACTTGCCGTGGTCTTGCTCTGCTCTGTGTCTGACTCTGAATCTGTATTTGGAGTCGCACTCGGCCTAACTCCACATGGAGAGGAATCCGGCCACGCAAGGCTAGCACCATTGCAGACCGGCACGCTTGTAAGACGTCAGATGATGCGGCTAAATGCCATGATCGTGTTCCTCACGAATGCCATGATTTTTCCCCGGGGGAAAGTGCTACGAAGTGCCTTTCCCTGCCGTGAACGATGTCACGAGACAGCCAGTGGCCGGTCGGACTGTGCTGGTGCGTGGCGAGCCCGTGTAGATCAGCGGCTCGGGGTGGGTCTTCTCTCCATCAGCGGCGCCGGGCCGGTCTTCTCTCGATCGGCGGCGCCAGGCAGGTCTTCTCTCGATCGGCGGCGCCGGGTAGGTCTTCCCGTTGCACCTCTGGCCGTCCCCGACAGCGCACCTCCCTTACCCCGCTCCGCCTGGCTGGGGGTCGGGTAGCGTTTCAGTCCTCGGTAATGCCGCTGTCTTACGATGTCACAACGGCATTGGAAGAGAAATGTGCTGAGCCACTGGCCTTCGCTCCACCTGTCCCTGTGCGCTGGCCGACAACAGCATCCATGCTGCGGCAATGGACGCGGACTCGACTCCACTCCAAGAACAGCTCCACCACAGCGAGCGACGCAGGGCACACCGGAACTGGCTGCGGAACGTGATCGGCCGCCGGCGCGTGGAAAGCCGGGCTGGAGTGAACGCCGCTGACGGTCGGGCGGCGGGTTCCCACGGGCCAAGGCCGCGGCGGCGGCTGGTCACGGCTGCGGTGCGGCGGCCCCGTGGCCGAGCGCCACCGACCTGGAACGGCTCGCGGTGGCCGCCGCCCACTCCCGGTCAGGGAGGCCGCCACCTACCCACCGAGGGCTGCTGTTGTCCGAATTGTTCAAGATACGTTGGCTGAAGCCCTTTTTGTCACAAGCACGGGTAGATACAAAACGGGTGAGGAGGATTTAGTGCTAGCGGCTCATGTCACTGCTGTTGTTGCAGGCTTCACCGTCTCATGTCGCTATGGGGACCCACTGCACTGTACTGTTTCAAAAGGTGCAATAGGCAATCCGGGCACATCTGAGCCGACGTACGTTGAGGAATGTCAGCCCGGATTTGGACATGACCAGTTGTGAATCTGATCTGAAGATTGGTCAGTCGATTCTTGCAGGAAAGTGCCCTGTGCAAATGTAACCATGACCCAGAGAGGAGTAGGACAAGGTAACACAGTTGACGAACAGCATATAACAGTGCATGCTTTGCTGAAGCATCCACATAAACGGTCCCAAATCGCCTCAATACCTGAATACCTGACGTTCCTTCTGAGCCCAGATACGCAGCTCTCGTATGCCATATAGCCTGGAGAAACTCATTGTATGGCACCGAGGCATCTTGACCCTGGCAATTTGCGAATCCTTCCCCGGCATTACTGCATTGCTCCACCATCAGCCCGGAGTGCATAGTTTAGCGGCGTGTCTGCCGTGCCCGGCGCCCGTGGGAGCCGGCCGGGATGCCATATCGCTGCTGCAATCCGTCACCGCCTGGCCTTGCTCTCACCTCTCGGGATCGCCGCCGCCGGCGCCCCACTTCGGCAGACAAAGCCGGCAGCGACGGCAGCCGGCCCGCGGCGGCGATGCCGGGTTATGACGCCGGCCTGCGGCTGCGATGCCGGGTTATGCCCCCAATCACCCCCCGATCCACAAAGGACCGAACGCGCGGATTCCTGGCAAATGGCGGCGCCGCATGCACGCTCCGCGAGGGGTCATCTATCAAGCGGCGCGCCGTAGCGCCGCCGACCGGCTGCAGACATCTGCAGTTAATGTGGGGACCGGTCCGCGCGGCGTATCGGTAAGCGATCGCGCCCCGGCCGGGGGCGCTTTCCCATGCATACTGGCTGCCGGTACGGCGCCGGCGGGCGGGGCGCTCTGGGAGCAGCGCTGCCGCCGGGCCGGCACCCGGAGCTGGCGTATCGGGCGCCGGGGGCGGCCCGATCACGCGGCGCCGCCCGCCGCCCGTCCCGCCCTGCACGGCAGACGTCAGACCCCCGCCGGCCACTGATCCGCCTGCCGATAGACAGACGGCTCCTCCGTGTTTGGGTGCTGAGCCGGGACGGGCGCGGCCGGCGACGGGTGCGGATCGCGGCGGACGTGGCGCGCCGGGCGCCGTTTCGGACCAGTGCCTGTCCTCGTTTGGACGGCGACGGGGCGGGGACATGCCTACACTCGATTCATTGACCGGCCGCGGTAGCCGAGTCTTGGAGATTCCTGACGACTCTCCGCGACCGCGACGCTGACCATGGACTGGCCAACGACCACGACATGCATCTGGCCACCTTGTCTCTCGGTGTGTGGAAATTGGACGGTCTCTGGTTTCCTAACCCCGCTATTCTACACTTGAGTTGGCTCCTGGCCTGGGATTGCGGTTGTTGGTGTCTGCGCCCGCGCAACTCCTGCATGCACATAAACGGGAGAAAGCATCTCGCACGACAATGGGCACGATAAATAACGTGGACACGGCACATGCGATACGTAGATAGAACATGCGCAAGCCCGCGGCGTTGGCTTACTTTGGTTTTGCATGGAACTAGTTCCGTTCGCAGGAGGATTAAGGTTGTAGCTGTAGACGCAATTAATCCCTTATAGCGTCTGCGAAGTGTCTGCAAGAACTGACGACGCAATTGATCCCCTGCCTGCAAAAGTGAGGCTCCTTCAACCACATGCATGCATTTTCATGAGAAGTGAGGGAACTTCGGTTTTCTTCCTTCCTCCAAGCATTTTTCCTCTCCTTCCACCGTCCCCGCCGCGGCTTGCCCGCTGTTACGAGTCCGTGTGTTTACGTCCGATTCAGCTGGCCATTTGTCTGCTCTCATAACAGCGGCCGATCGGCGTGATCGATCGACGGGCCGAGCCATTATCCCGCCGTGACGTCACCGGCTGCCCGACCGAGCGTTTCGTTCCGCCGCGCCGGCGGAGGCCTGACCACCGTCGTCCTTCCGTTTTACTGGTAACCCAGATGTCTGGCCGGCCGTGAGCGCCCCCCCCCCCCCGATGGAGGCCAATGAGAGCAGGCGCCGCCGCGCCGCCGCCGATCCGGCCGCTTGTTACGTGGGAAAGCGGCGCTGTTTGCAGGGAGAGAGTCAGCCTCATCCACAGGTGGCAAAACTCGCCCGAGTCCGTCGACAACAGCCGTGGTCCTTCGCGGTATTTGGGTCGTTGGGCGGTGTCGTTGGCTGGGTTTTGGCAGAGATGCACCTCTTTAGTTTTGTGCTTGATTCCGAGTGAAATCCGGTTCATCCTTGACATCAATTAAACCTTAGGAGGGTTATATTTTAACTGATTCTTGCAACTCTTCGTGTAAGTTAAAATCAGATTAGATCCCCGTCCATTGGATGCCATTAGCTATCAGACGACGGAGATAATCTAACGTTACGTGTGCTCGTGTACATTTTTGCGGTTCGAACCATTTAAAATGCACAGTACTCGTTGGATCTGAGACGCATTAGTGTTGATATTCCGTGGGTATGATAAAACATAAATTTGTATGTTGTCTGGATGGATTCTGGCATGCCATTTACCGGGTATAAGTGTGATAAGCCGTATGCCATGAGTTCGAACTTAAATTCGGATTTAGACCACACCCTGTTACATTGGAACCTAAGCCCAAAGTAACTGGACGTTGCTATGATTCTAACTAGACTCAGTCATCGCAATTGGTGTCGCAACAGCAAGCATACCTGCGGCGCACACTTTCCTCGCTTGTCACAATGTTGGTGATATCTCCTTTATTTTGCATAGGGATCTCTAAAACGATTGTGACAATCCGAAATTGCGATTGCGAACATCACGGTTGGTGTAAATCTTCCAAACAAATATCCCAATCATGCCAAAATTGCGTCCTCACATTGAGGAATTGTGCGACTTCTTAAGAGTGGAACAAACATTGCTCTGTTCCCAACCACCTCAAACGCCATACGGACGTCAGGGCAGCACCATTAACGCCGTCTTTATGCTGCGTTTCCAGCTGGCGCCATCCCAGTGACGTCCGTCAGCCAGCGCGCGGCGGCGTGACATCGCCATGACCCCGGACGCGTCGTCGTTGCTGGGCCAGGTCACGTGGTCGGACGAGGCGGCGTCGCTGGCCGAACTGCTGCAGCGCCACGAGCTGCCGCTGCTGGTGAAGGTGCAGAAGGGCCAGTACCTGAGCCTGGGCCCGGGCGGCCTCTCCAGCCTCGGCGTGCACAGCACACTGCTGCTGACCTCCGGCGGCCGCCGGCGCCGGCTGCTTGCCCAGGCCGTCAAATTCAAGGACAGCAGGCGCATGGTGCCGGTCGGTCAGAAGCTGCTCATCCCGGACACCTTTGACGGCCTGTTCGAGATCCTGAGCGAGGAGGGCCGCTCGGTGCGCGCCATCGAGGGCGTGGCCGAGCTGGCGCGTCTCTTCCCCGACTCGTGCATCGTGCGCTGCAGCTGCAAGGCTTTCGTCTCCAAGTCGGACAGCGTGGACACGATCACGGAGCGCACGCGCACGCTGCAGAGCGGTGAGACGCTCGTGCTGGTGGGCGAGGTGGTGCGGCCGCGCGGCCGTGGGCCGGCCCGCTTCCTGCGCTGCTTCGACAGCAGCGGCGAGAACGTCTACCTGCCGCACGAGCTGAAGGCGCGCTTCAGCGCCGTCGCCAAGGAGAGCAGCATCAGCGGCGTGCACAGTGTCGCCAACCTGCTCAACAAGCGGCTGCCGCTTAACGTTCGGCTGGTGAGCGGTAGGCCGGCCGATGGCTCTCGGCTGGCGGTGCCCGAGCTGCGGCTGCACACCACCTTCGAGCAGGAGCTGGTGCTCGGCCTGCCGCTGCACAAGGACAGCGTGGTGGTGGCCATGCCGCCGACGGCGCCGCTGCGGCTGCAGGCGGCCGTCAACGGCCAGCAGCTGGCGCGCACGGCCGAGTTCGGCCGTCTGTGCGACCGCGCCGCGCAGGTCTGGCTGCACTCAGCCGACCGCATCCAGCCGTTCGACGTGGCGCTGCCACGTGACCCGCGCCTCGACGGCAAGAAGGCGGCGGTGCGGCCGCTCGGGCTGCGCCGCGCGCTGGCGGCGCCCATGTCGCGCGTGACGCGCCGTCACAGTGGCCAGACAGTCGACGAGTACGATGAGATCGACCAGATCTACGACTACGTGCGCGGCCTGGCGCCGCTGCCGAAGGCGGCTACGGCGGCGGCGCCGGGAGCGGCGGCGGCGGTGGCGACGGCGCGAGCCGACCAGCCGCCGGTGCCGCCGCCCATCGAGACGATCCCGTCACGGAGACTCTCGCTGGCGGCCGTGCGGCCCTTCAACCTGCACCCGGGAGTCTTCACGGCCGGTAAGGCGAAGCCGGCGGTGGCCGCGGCGCCGGTGCCCGACACCCGGCCAGCCGAGAAGCCGACCCGTGACCCGGCTAAGCACGCGCAGAGGCCGGCGCCGGCGGAGGAGACCCGCCCGGCCGGCAAGCTCTTCACCAAGAACTGCAACGCGCGCGCCAACCAGCGGTTCGCGGCACACAAGGCGGGCGCGGCGCCGAAGGGCGGCAGCGTCCACGGCCCGCTGCCGGACGCGGTCCGTTCCGCCGCGCCGCCACTGTTCGACATGCGCTACAAGTCGCTCATCAGCCTGGTGGCGGCGTTCGACACGCTCGACTCGAGCACGTCGGGCGACAAGGGCTCGGGCGACTCGGCGCGCTCGGCCGCCGTCCGCAGCCGGCTGCTGGAGACGAAGCCGAACAAGCTGACGCGGCCGCGCTCGCTGACCAGCCTGGTGTGGGACCTGCACCAGCCGGCGCCGGACATGTTCGCCAAGCCGAGCATCATCGCCGACCACGAGCGGAAGCTGCGGCTCGAGCCGGGCGTCTACACGCACCGCAGCCACAACATCCTGCTCAACAACAAGTACAACAACCTGAAGAAGATCGGCACGCTCTACTTGTGAAGGTACGTCGTTGCTGCTGCGCGGATTGGTGGGGCTGAGGTGTCGCATCACTGGCGGGCTGGGCTCGTCGGTGGCATATTGCGGGGCTGTCCCTGTCGTGCACAAATCTCGAATCTAAGACATGTTTAAATGAACCAGGGTTTGTCGTTTTCGCTAACGTTGGTTGTAGAAATGAACACCACACGGGGTCTGGTAAGCAAAGGCAAAATCGATATGATCTTTTCACACCACCGACTGTGCACACAATGAGGTAATAAAGCAGTTTTTCTTTGTTGCGAAACTTCTGGCGAAAGGCCCTGGTCACTGAATATCACCGTATCACAAAATCTCTGAGAAGCATTTGCGGCAATAGAACGTCCACTGCATTATGATGTCCAAACTGTCACTGCCTCTAAGGAAGGTAGCATTGCAACACCGAAGTTTCCGACGCGTGGAAAAGAACCAGCGGCGCTTCGTGGTCAAGATCGAAATCGGTGCCTCACATTTGTTCTATTCCGCAACGTGAAGGTTTCATTACTGATAGCGGGTTGCCACAAACATCTGGCTTCCCACGCTGGTGAGGGAAATCGGCCGGCGGATCCGTCCATTCTCCTGCGCCTGCCATCCACGGCGACGTTATCCAGATCTGGGCTCGGGTCGGGCTCGGGCTTTGGGCTGGGCTCAGTTGAAGTGTATAGCTTTCTCCGGTCTCTACTGTTTAGTGTTCGCGCTCTCCTCCGTCGATATTGTTCGATGAGGAATTCCTGTGCCGCAACCTCTGAGGTACCAGTACCGGTTGGTACCAACACCACCCACGGATAGTCCAGTATTGTCCAGTGCTTGCACTCAATCTATATTGCCAGCCACGCAATACTACATTGCCAGCCATGCAATGCTATATTGCCAGCCATGCAATGCACTAATAAATAAGTTAGTGTCTAGTACGATGCACAATTATCGATGCTGCGTTTGTGTAGTGCCCACGTCCCACATTTCCATACGTGCCTCCAGTGCCTTGCCCCGCCCAGCGTCCATTGTCCAGAATGCATGCTGTCAAAAGTCTGCTTGTTTCTGCACAGCATTGAGCTCACTGTTTAGAGCCGACCGCGTCCGCCACTCTGTACCGTCCCGGCAGTCATGCACCCTGACCTTAACCAACCGACCGGTGGGAGCCACGCGAGGGCACCGTCCGAGGCCGGACGGCGCTCCCGGCAGCCGGTACCGAGCCGGACCTGCCGGCCAGAGGTGCCCTTGCCGCTCGGTCAGACAGGGCCGCCGCACCACACATGGCTTCACTGCGCTCCGCCCCTTGCTGGCGGGAGACACAGCTGCGGGGAAATAGGACCATGCCCGAAGCCTGCGTGACACCAAGCGAGGCGAAGCACGCATAGTGCACGCCTGATTCATGCATCTGCGGTCAGTACATAGGGTGCAGCAAAGTTCAGTTACAGTCGACGCGTCCGGTTGGGGTGGGAGAGTGTAGGTATTTATCAGAGAATGCTGTTACTGTCTCGGCGGTTTTCCCTTCCACCTGTCCTCGGCTGATACGCCGAGTTGACGGCTCGACGCCGGTACATTTCAGCACAATGTCACACAATGCCCCCGGGAATGAGCCGCGACACAAATCATAGGGTCGTGAGGACAGGGGTAGCGCCCCTCCCCGACTTCGATCAATCTGGCGTTTCTCCCGCAAACTCCGGAGAAAAAGTACTGGACTCGTGGCATTGTATCGTACGAATTGGGCTAACAGGCGATTCAAAAAGCTTCCACCGCCAAGCGTTCCATGACTTCCCGCTCTCCCACAGATCCGGGGCGTTCGTGTGCTTGGTTTGGTTGTTTGGATGAAAGCCCTTTCGGCCAGCCGTGACCATTTCAGGGCTATGTGATAAAGGAGAATGGATAACGGCGAGCCAAGTCTACACGCACGTGGAGACCAACCCACCGAGGCTTTGCCCTCTGCGGAGAATGTGCCCGGCGCTCGAACGGAGGTTCCCGCCAGGGGGCACTTCGGCCTTCTCATGGCTGGCACATGAAGCTGTCCCGAACAAGCGGGCGTAGCGGGGACGCATGATAAAGCGAGAAACAGGACAAAATGGCGGATGAGTTTGTGTGCACAACCAACACGGCGAACCCCAGTCAATGGCCGCCTTTCCGAACAGCCGTGCCCGCCAAGGTTGGTCCAGTGTCACACGAACCTCCAGGCCATGTTGTGGGATCGTTTCGGAAACAGTCTCAACTGCCCGCGCTCTTAGACGCCGGGGTCATCGAGCACAGCCTGGGAAACGGCTGCAGTAAATGTGTCCTGACTCATGTAATCTGTAGGCCTCGGCTGGCGTTGTCACGACCGTAGGAAACATTAGCTCACAAGGGTGCATGGTACCCTCTGACGCTTCGACAACCTTGCAAAAGTTACTGTTGTTCTGGGAAGCCGGCGATCGCCCCTTTCTCCGATAGCATCCCCCACCTCTTTGATGGGCTCCCCTGGATGACTTGCAGTCCCTTGGCAATACCGTTAATCAGCCGGGACGGGCATCACGTGACCTCCGCCTCCGATCTTCCGCACCAACGCCCCCAGCCTCACCGTGGCGCCGGTGAGTCACGTGCGCGCCTCGTTAGCGCACTGTCTGCGGTGAGGCGTGACCGACGGCCGCGGCGGCTCGGTCTGACGGCTGGTGTGTGTCCCAGGGACTCCTGAACTCAGGGGCTCAAAGACTCCGGTCCGGCCCGGCGGCCGGTGTGTGTTCCAGGGTCTCCCGGACTCTGGGACTCAGAGACGCTAGTCCGGTCCGGCGGCCGGTATGTGTCCCAGGGACTCCCGGACTCTGGGACTCAGAGACGCTAGTCCGGTCCGGCGGCCGGTGTGTGTCCCAGGGACTCCTGAACTCAGGGACTCAGAGACCCTGGTCCGGTTCGGCGGCCGGTATGTGTCCCAGGAACTCCCGGACTCTGGGACTCAGGTACCCGGCCGGGTCCGACGGCCGGTGTGTGTCCCAGGAACTTCCGGATTCAGGGGCTCAGGGACTCTGGCCCGGCCCGGCAGCCGGTGTGTGTCCCAGGGACTCTCGGACTCAGGGACTGAGGTACCCCGGCCGGGTCCGACGGCCGGTGTGTGTCCCAGGGACACCCAGACCCAGGGACTCAGACACCCCGGCCGGGTCCGACGGCCGGTGTGTGTCCCAGGGACTCACCCCGGCCACAGTCACGGGCGGGGTCCGGCGAGCTGGGCCGACGCGGCCTCTGCGTGGGTCACGAGCACGCCGCCACATCTGGTGCAGCTTTCTCCGGGCCGGAGGATGGAGCGGCGCGCAGCCCGGCCATGTCAGGGCGGCCCGAGGGACGACCGCTGGTCACGCGCGCTGCCCGAGACACCCGGCCGCACGGCACGAACTGGCAGAGGCGGCCGCGGCGCGCAACGAAGTAGGGAGTGAGCGCACATGCTGAGGCGCCTTTAGGTACATCCAGCAGAGGGTATGCCATGCTGGCACCCCTCCACACATCATGAAGGATGTGTACACGAACAAAAAACTCCCGGGAAGTACCCCCATGATGTCCTGTAAGAACACTGCGCCGCAAAAGCCGCAACTTTCCCCAGGTTATGTAACCAAAGTGTTTTGCATTCTGTTTTGCTCATGACATGCTCATACCACGTCGCGCTATATTTGGCTCGCTTTGCAAGTTGATCGCATATCAGCCCCCGCCGTCACGTCTCCCGTGGGCCGTCCGGCTGCTCCGCTGGTGTGTGCATGTGTGTGTGTGTGTGTGTGTGTGTGTGTGTGTGTGTGTGTGTGTGTGTGTGTGTGTGTGTGTGTGTGTGTGTGTGTGTGTGTGTGTGTGTGTGTGTGTGTGTGTGTGTGTGTGTGTGTGTGTGCATGTGTGTGTGTGTGTGTGTGTGTGTGTGTGTGTGTGTGTGTGTGTGTGTGTGTGTGTGTGTGTGTGTGTGTGTGTGTGTGTGTGTGTGTGTGTGTGTGTGTGTGTGTGTGTGTGTGTTGCGTGTGTGTGTGTGTGTCTGTGTGTGATTGTGTGTGTATGACGTGGGGGTCTGGCCACCTGCCCAGCCCCCTTGGGCGTGGTCTCGCGCGACGCTCGGGGCTGGGGCGGCGCCGCCCCAAACCTCGGGTTCCGGCTGCGGGCAGCGTGTGACGCCCCACGCCGGACGCCGCCGGACCCCGTCACCCTCCATGTCACGACCCCAGCCGCTCGCGAGCTGCAGCATCCCGGCCGATCCTGCCACGTCCGGCGCCGAGTCTGGTCCTGATTCACCCGAGGTCTGACTCAGAGTCCTGGACCGAACCCTGGAGCGGGCCGCGGGTCCGGTCCGAGCCAGCGGCCCGGAGACGCCGCTCACGGACAGGGGTTGGGTGGACCGCGCGCCGACCGCGGGCCGTATAGCAGTGATCTGGGAGCAGGGCGGCGTCCACACGCCGCCCCACCCTCATGCAGCTGCCGAGCTCGGCTCTCAGAGGCAGACGGCTGCGGTCCGATCCTGGCT